GGCTGGTGCGGGATCGGGCAGTGTTTCGTTCTGCTGTGCATGGGGTCGCTATGAGTCGGAAACGACTCGAGGGCACTTAACAACAACAACAACAAGAAGATTTCTACATAACATTCTCTCTTGTAGAGCTTTGGTATTTAAAACAGCTTGGTCAGAAAAGCAGGAAATGCATAAGTTAGAAGGGTCTATATTTACTTTAGACTTCCCAATTAGGAAAAATTTCAATTACAACAGGCATTTCTCCTTTCACTAGTTGCCCAGAAGCTGTATTACTGATAAAAGTCTGTTGTCTTAGCATAGAAGCATCTTTGAAATTTCAGGGCTTACCATCTCCATGGTGCAGATCCAAATCAACATAGAGAATGCGGTCAAATTTCCGTCGCAATTGTAATATTCCCAGGACAGCATCATTGAGATAACAAAAACCAGATGCTTCATCTCTGCAAGAAAACAAGTTACTATAGCCAACAGCCAAAAGCAATCCAAGGGAGTCTTTACAGCCAAGGATCTAACCCTTGAGATCCATTCTATTACAATTCTCTCTTCTTTTAAGAAAAACAAAAATCTTTCTACAAAGATTATATACTAAAAGGGAATGAAGCATTTGGTAAACTAAATACTCAGTTTGGTTGATAAAATTTTCCATTCAGGATCTCAGATTTTCAAAGAATTAGAATATTTTAACTATATTAACAAAACAGAACCTTTCCCTGATGATTCAGGAATCATTTCAAAGAATCTGTAGTGCCTTGGGGTCATCATGATCAACACTAATTAGCACTTTTAGACTTTAAGAAAGCTTGAATCTGGAAAGGGCCTTAAAGATAATCTTGTTCAGCCAGATGTAGATAGCAGTGGTTGGATTATCTCTGTACTGACAGCATGACATAAGCTAGAAATCATTTTTTGAATAAGTTTTGGTACTTGTTACTCATAAAAAGCTAGGTATTAGAATGTACAGATGCAAAACCTGCTGGGCAGTATAATGTGGTTGCCTTTCTGTAAATGTAATTATTATAATGGAGATTGAAACAGCCTTTTCTAAAGTTATTTTATTTCCTTCACAAAAACTGTCTTTGATTTCATCAGTGTCCTTTAACTTTTTTGCTCCTGGTAATATTATGTCACTTTAACTGCTCATCAGCATTAACCCATTTTTATTAGTTTTCTTAAGCCTTTTGGATTAGATAAAAAAAGAATGTTCTTTATCATCAAGAATGTATTATAATCTATTTTTAAGTTCTCACCTAAATACTGGTTTCTTTTGTTTCCATAGACTTAAAAGATCTAGATTATTTTTCCTAAGTACTCCTTGATATATCACTTGAAACAGAATTCTAGGCATAAGCATCATGTAAAAGGAGATCTTTGTCCAGCACTTACATAATGAATAAACTTATTCCTGATATTTCTTACAAAATAACATTTCATATTCTGAACAACAACCTGGTTTACAGACTGAATCAGAGACAAGTATATTGGCAAGCATTAATTGGTAAAAATATCACTAAACACTGAATTTGTATCATGAAGGTGAACTTATCAATCATCTAGTAAAAAAATAGCCTGGTTGTAGATATTCAATCAGAAAAAAAAAAAAAAAGGATTTTTCCATCTATGAATTTTCTGTAAATAAGAGCTAGTCTGGCTTCATAGGAATAAGCCTTGGGCTGTTGATGGTGACTCTCTTTTCCCTTCCTGAGGTTGGAGGAGGTCAGAAGATGCCCTCCCCATGCACTTTTTGCAATTATCTACATAAGACCAAAGGTTCAACACATATTTTAAAGCATAGATGAGAAGGTTGGGCGGCAAGTAGTTGAAGTAAATGGAAGTGAAACAACTGGAAGAGAAATAACAAAAATGTTCACACATGTGAAGAATATAACTAATGTCATTGATCATTATGTCTGAGAAACTGAGGAAGGTTTTGCTGCATATATATTATCACAAAAAA